TGGATCACATCCCTCCTGTTGGACTCTGCTCTCTCCCACTTCCGGCTGTGAGCATAGCTCCAAGAAAATAATGGATGTCAAAACCACAAATGGGCCTAAACACTCTCACGCCGAGGGGAAGCTCCCCTCACCCTTCCAACACCCCTCCCTCACCCCTCCCCCACCCCAAACAACATATTCGCCTATGTTGGGTCCCCTCACACATACACACAGCCTCTACATAGCTTACTTACTATCATCAAAACTATTATCAACACACAGGAATAAGTCTACGGCAAACACACATACATATTTAACTACTCTTTCCACATATTCCACTCATATCCTCGTATTTCTTACTCTACCACATACCACACACACTCTCCTACACCCCCATCAACATGATCTCCCATCTTTCCTGACCACATACCCAAACACCAGACGCTCACACGCGTCCGACACGCGCCAAACTTCCGGGAAAATCCCCCCCAAACCCTTTGTGACTAGACACCTGCGTGCCACCTGTCGAGCTGGCTCTCAAGAGAGCCACCTGGGCAGATGGCGCGCGCGGTTCTAGTCCTCAACTTCACTACTCTCATGTTGGTTTGTATTTGCAAATTTTATGTTCTCTAGGTGTGCAACAAGTTTTAGCCTGATTATTTTTTCAAGTATTTTGCAGGGTATGCTTGTCAGTGATACAGGTCATTAGTTAAGTGCTTCCCTCCTATTCCCTTTCTTGAAGATGGGTACCACTTTTGCCTTCTTCCAGCAACTGGTCAACTCTCCCATTCTAAATGACTCATTGTAGATCCATGCAATAGGGACGCTGAGGGGCCTGCGCTGCCTCTTTTAGGTGATACTTTGTCTGGTCCAACTGCGTTAGTTGCATCCAGTGTTGTCAACTGTTTCACTATCTCCTCAGCTCTCACCTCAGTATCTGATAATATTTCATCTTGGGTCATCTCTTCTAACAACGGGAGACGCTCCAGTTCGGTAGTGAACACTCCATGGAAATTGGCATTCAGTGCCTCGCAGATTTCATTGTCACTTTCCATATATGCCACTTCTGTTTTCCTTAGTCTTGTCGTACTCGTAATTTTTTTCCGATTGTCTTATTATGTTAATGAAATCGTTCCTAGCTCTATTACATCTAATCCTGTTGTCCTCTGTCCTTTGTCTTCTGTGCTTCCTCCACTCCCTCCTGCTTCTCATTTTTGCTTCCTGACACTGTCTATTAAACCATGGGTTATTATATTCCCTCGTACCCTTTTCTTTATTGGTGGTATAACTCTCTCTTCGGCCTCCTTGCATTTCCAAGTGACTAGGTCCATCATATTTATGGATTGTTTTTCCTCTAATTTCTTCCTCCCACTGCATGTCTCCCAAATATTCCCTTATCCTCCTGTAATCCCCTTTCCCGTAGTCAACTCTCCTTTCCCAGACCTCTTATTCCGTGGTCACAATTTTAAGTTCCATCATGTAGTCAAAGACTAGGACATATTGTTCACTGGCTCTTAGAGGTCTTTCACGTTCCAAATTCTACGTTCTGGTGAAAATCAGGTCTAAGAGGCTCGATGTATCCCCTTCTTCTTTCCCTTGTGTCTTCCTTCACATGCTGTGTTAGGAAATTCCTGTCTATAATCTTTACTAGCTTTGTTTCTCCCTTTTCCTCTTCGCCATGGGGATTCCTTGATTCCCAATTGATCTCTCCATGATTTAGATACCCCATGACCAGCAGTTTCGCTCTCATTCTGCGTGCTGTTGTTGCTGCCCTCTGCAGTTAATCTGTACACGCCTTGTTGTCATCATACACCTGCCTTGGCCTTCAATTATTTGGTGGGGGATTGTAAATTATCAAGAACACAATCTTCTTCCCATCTGCTGTCAGAGTCCTGTGAATGTATCTCATGCCTTCATTAGTACCCAGATTTTCCAGGTCTTCAAACTTTCATTTCTACTTTATTAGGAATAACACCCCCCCCCCCACCCTGTCTCTGTGTCCTTTCATTTCTTATCACTCGTTACCGCCCCTCCCCACCCCCTGGAAAGATTGCGTCCGAGATCATATCATTTATTTTAGTTTCCACTATTGCAATTATGTCAGGATCTGCCTCACTAACTCTTAATCTTATCTCTTCTGCTTTATTGGATACCCCAACAGAATTGGTATTCAAAACCTTGAAACTCCCTCTTGGAGACTCTGGTAACAGAGTTCACTCTTTCTTTCGAGGTCTTGCGGTCTGTGCGGGGTGGGGGTCTAGGCAGCTAGAGGGGGGTCGAAAGGGCATAATAGGTCTGAAAGTTAGGGAGGGTCTGAAAGGCATTGGGGGGTTGAGAGGTTGAGTGAGGCTGAGAGTCAGATAGAGGCTGAAAAGTGGAGGGAGAGCAGGAGAGGGGCTGGGGGCAGAGGGGAGAATGGAGCATAGGGTGTGTGAGTGGAAGAGAGGTTGTATTAGTCAGAGGGGAATCAGGGGTAAGTGAGGGTTTTGGGGTAGAAGGGGGAAGAGGGAGGTGGGAGAAGAGAGGGGTGGGGCTGTGGATTTAAGTGAGGGAAGAGACAGGGTTTCGTGGGCAGTGCAGAGGTGAAGGGGGTAGCAAGGTGAGGTGGTCATATGGGAGCAGTGGTGCAGAGGAGGGGTAGAGGCTGGGCGGGGGTTGGGGCGGTGGGGAGGAGGGGGGGGCAATGAAAGGGGGAGGGAGCAGATGGGATTGGATGCAATGGGGGCGGAAAGGGCGAGGGAGTTGTCGGGAGGGGAAGGAGGGGAGGGATGGGAAGGTTGATTTTGTTGATGGGTATGGGTTGACCATATAAGGGCAAATGAAGAGTGTGATGTAGCAGGTGTAATTGGGAGCAAGGGGGTAGGAGGAAGAGGCAGGGGGAGTTGTTTGGGGTAAAACCAGGGGGGGTGGGGGAGCCGGGGGTGTGCATATTGGCTTGCCTTGTGGGCTAATTGTTTATCTTTCGTTATATATCTCTTAATAAAAACATGTAATAGCGTTTGCTGCCATTGAGTAAATGTTTATGCTTCATTAAATAGTCCACTGCCCCTTCATCAGAAAACTGCACTTAGACAGGCCGATTCTTAGTACAATTGTAAGGTCCAATCCAGTGGCTGAAGTACACCTCGTTTTATGCCATCTCGGCATTAATACACCTCAAAATCTCATTTAATTCAAACTTTTCCATTTCTATTCTTTCATGCCCTTCATTCTACCTTTTCAAGTAATTTGGGTGACGGAAGTGGCATCGTCTGCATGACTTGTCATGCTGTGTAGAGGCAGGCCATTATAGCCACCATAAAAGCTTAGTTGTACAGTTAAGATGAATAAAACATGTAGATACTTATTTATATAGTGTGTTTATGATGTAATAACACCACAAACATTGTTGTTGGGGAGAATAGTGTATCTGTCCTTGAATCAGTGAGGGAGGCAGCTGTCAGCTGTGTGTGAGACGACGTCTCTTTTATTTTGCCTGAACCCACCATACCAGCTTAGTTTTAGAGTTATTTTGAATAAAACTGTAGATAATTATATATAACGTCAGTATATAGTGAATAAAGGCCAAAACAGTATGGTGGGAGGAGAATGATGGCGAGTGAGGTGTTTTTGAGGGAGGGAGTGGCCGCTAGTGGCTGGCAGGCTGGTGGAGCAGCCACTCCTGTTGCTCTTTGACTCACCATAGCAACTCAGTAGTTTATTATGGTGAACTAAGCATGCAGATATTTATATATAACCTGTGTATATAGAGTAATAACAACAAAACTATTTGTTTATTGTTTTATGCACATAATAAATAAATCCCTAATATGCACATCAAAATTTTGAGTATATAGCTGATTCACCCCTTTGTATTAGATAAATATATTACACTACACACTATTGAATAATGTTACTCTAAAAACTAAGAACAAAATCAATCAGATACATTTAAATAATTAAGTAATAATATCTTTGTGCCAACTACCGCCTGAGAGCTGTGGCTGAGCTGACCGCCACAGCTGTGAAGATGTTAACGCCCACATTATGCCAGACTTCCTCAGCCTATTGCGGCCAAAATATGTTACCTACAATTTTTGTTATTTATCCCATGCTCAGGGAACACAAATGAACATTTTAGAAGACAAAAAAAAAATTTGAATTTTTTTTTTCTAGCGCACAAGGGTGTAAAAGTCCTCAGGACCCCTTAGCAGCTTAAATGCTAGCCATGCTGTTTTTTTTTCTTTTTATTTTTAAAACAGAGCAATTACAGCATACAGTAACCATATAAAGAGGAAAGCAGAGTAACAAAGAACACAGAATAACAACAACACAGATAACAAGTAACACATAACACAAAAGTGAAAACAAAGAAAAACATAAAACTCATAAGAACACACACACACAAAAACAAAAGCAGCACTACCCAGACGGGGCGGGCCAAAAGCGTCAGTAATTACAATAGCGCACAAGGAGCACAATAAAACCAGAGGTAAAATATAAACAAGGAATACACATACAAAATTACACAACACACCACAGAATCTAGAACACAATAACAGAACATGGTAATACAATACTGTAAATACAACATAGTAAAGAAAATGCAGGAAAATATCAAGGGAATACAACAAAGCAATACACAGCACAGTACATAGAACAAAGGAAACAGAACACATTTGCATGACATAGTAAATTATCAAATAAAAAATAAAGAATCGGTATAGCACAAACCAACATTGGAACATATAACACAGTAAATAGGGCACAGATAAGAGAACAAATCGTACATAAGCATAAACAAATATGGAATCATACACATAGGTAACATGAAATAGTTAAAAAATAAAAGAAAAAACACTAGAGCATTATAACCCAGCAAGAATTAGGTAAGAAAACAGGGGGGAAAAAAAAGGAACCCGTAACATATAGCTCAACAAACCAACGAAAGAAAGAAGCACACAAAGCAAGAACCACACACACAGTCAATCTTCATATTTATCCGGATAGTAACGACGCGGGTACTTCTTCCGATAGGCATCTCACTGTGCCCACATTTCCATAGGCGCGTTAACGTGACTACGTGACCCTCGTGGGCGACGCATGAAGTCAGGAACCTCCAGCTCGGCTCCCTCCACCTCGGGGGCGGTAGGCACGGGAAGAGGCCGCACAGAGGGCTTTGATACAGACGGTGGAACCACACGGGACTGAAGCACAGGAGTCGGCTGGACACAGGCCGGCAACTGAGCGGGCGGAGTCACAGGGGACGCAAGCACAGAGGGCGATGGTGCAGGGGCCGACACCACAGGGGACGGAGTAACAATGGATGACTGAGCAGAGGGCAAAGGCGTGGAAGGCACAGACATGGACACCAGAGGCACGGAGGCCGCCGGAACAGAAGCATTTGTAAGAACCGGCACCAAGCCCCTACCCTCTCTCGCAATCTCGGCCGGTGCCACAACCTCCCAACCCGGGGAACCAGCATCCGGTGACGCGGAGGCAGCCGGAGAAGACACCGGACCAGGGCCAGGCGACAATCCCACCACAGGACCCTTCACTGCTGCAACACGACCCACAGGAGCCGCAGGCACTCCAACAGCGTCGCACACATCACCATCCCCAGAAGACGAACTCCCGGAGTCCTCAAATTCCCCGACGTCGGCCCAGGCCGCATTACGAGGCGGAGACAGACTCAAAGCTCGTCTCGAACGCTTGGACACAGGTCGCAGATCATCGGAACTATCACCCCCGCTAGGAAGCACTGTAGCAGAACCGCTGGTTGCCCGCGCAACTCCCCGCAGCGCACGATCACTCGACATTGCAGCCTCAACAACCCGTGGAACAGGACCACACACCACAGGAGACATCACAGTGTGCACGTCGACACGGGTCGAAGACACAGCTGCCGGAGACAGTACAGGCCGAGGCGCAGCCTCGACGTCCGGAGCCACGAGACCACACACCACAGGAGACACAACTGGAGAGTCAACTGGAGACTAGGCAGGCAGGGGAGGCTGAGGTATGGGAGCCGGGGATGCACTTCCTTCCACTCCGACACCCACAGCCACATCGAGGCTGGCATCAGAGACCGGGAACTGGGCAACAGAAGACTGGGTAGTAACACTGTCCACAGCAGCACCTTCCGACAGGTCCGGGACCGCCAACGGCGGAAAGTCCCCCTCCCTGAAGAGGTTCACAGGCCCGACCCGGCTCGCATCACATCCCGCAGCCTGATGGCCCGAGAGTCCGCACCGGAAACACGTCCGGGGCTGACCCCCATAGAACACGCGTACCATGAAGCCCAGAAGCTGGAGGGACGAAGGGATGGAGTCCTTCAAGCACAGTGCCACAGTGCGGGTCCCATTCGGGATACCCTTCCACCGCCCGGAGGAGACTGCATTCATTCGGACACTCAAGACCCGCCCATACCGGGTAAAATGACGCTGGAGAAGAGAGTCAGGGAACTTAAAGGGAGCACCATTAACCGCTGCATAGGTAGTCTCACTGCACCTGTCCGACACTACCACCGAACCACCACCCTCAGGCAGAGTAAATGTTCTCCCGTTATAGCGGTCCACAAAGTCACGATACACAGCCGTGGAGCAGAATTTCACAACAGCTCGATGCTCGGATACAAGTTGAACGCTGCACACAGACGCCACATCCACCCGCAACATGTCGATCATCACCACTTCAACTGCCGGGTAAGATGCTGGGCCAGTAAATTCTAGGCCAATGGTATCTCTCCGCTTCACAGGGGGGAGGGGGGGGGGGCCGCCATCCCTCCAGCCGCCACGGCCCCAAGGGTCCGCTCACACACACAAACTACCACGGGCCAGCAAACCAGGAGCTCACAGGCGACACGTCCACCTCCGCCCAGAGCTAGGCGAACACTCCTCTAGCCATGCTGTTAGTCGCACCTAATTCATTTGCAAGCCAAGTACATTCACTTTCCCAGGCTTCCCTACCCTTCCTAATTTTTCCCTGAATATAGTCCACACGCTCTTGTTTTTTTCTCTCAACCTCATTCTGTATTTGTTGAAAAATCTAACTTTTTATTCCCAAGATCAAATTCTCAATCCATATGTTCCTCCTCTCAACTTTGTTATCAACTTCTCTACAAGCTTATCTCCCTCTTCATTGCTATTTATTTGTCTTTTGCTTTGCTATTACCAGGTCACCCTTCCTTATTTTGCCATTGCAATAAATAACCTTAGCTAACAGGCGTTCCAATTACCTTACTCGTTCTCCTACACAATAGGCGAGTGAGTATCCAGGCACTCTCCAATGATGCGGTGAATGGCAGGTGAGGTTAAGGTCTGTCATGACTTGAGGTGGGTGAGCTCACGATCTGTCACGGCTTGAGGCAGGTGAGCTCACGGTTTGTCACGGCTTGAGGCAGGTGAGGTCACGGTCTGTCATGGCTTGAGGCAGGTGAGGTCACGGTCTGTCACGGCTTGAGGCAGGTGAGGTTAAGGTCTGTCATGACTTGAGGTGGGTGAGCTCACGGTCTGTCATGACTTGAGGTGGGTGAGGTTAAGGTCTGTCACGGCTTGAGGCAGGTGAGGTTAAGGTCTGTCATGACTTGAGGTGGGTGAGCTCAAGGTCTGTCATGACTTGAGGTGGGTGAGGTTAAGGTCTGTCATGGCTTGAGGCAGGTGAGGTTAAGGTCTGTCATGACTTGAGGTGGGTGAGCTCAAGGTCTGTCATGACTTGAGGTGGGTGAGGTTAAGGTCTGTCATGGCTTGAGGCAGGTGAGGTCACGGTCTGTCATGACTTGAGGTGGGTGAGCTCAAGGTCTGTCATGACTTGAGGTGGGTGAGGTTAAGGTCTGTCATGGCTTGAGGCAGGTGAGGACACGGTCTGTCATGACTTGAGGTGGGTGAGGTTAAGGTCTGTCATGGCTTGAGGCAGGTGAGGTCACGGTCTGTCATGACTTGAGGTGGGTGAGCTCAAGGTCTGTCATGACTTGAGGCAGGTGAGGTCACGGTCTGTCATGACTTGAGGTGGGTGAGCTCACAGTCTGTCATGGCTTGAGGCAGGTGAGGTCACGGTCTGTCATGACTTGAGGTGGGTGAGCTCAAGGTCTGTCATGACTTGAGGCAGGTGAGGTCACGGTCTGTCATGACTTGAGGTGGGTGAGGTTAAGGTCTGTCATGGCTTGAGGCAGGTGAGGTCACGGTCTGTCATGACTTGAGGTGGGTGAGCTCAAGGTCTGTCATGACTTGAGGTGGGTGAGGTTGAGGTCTGTCATGGCATGAGGCAGGTGAGGTCACGGTCTGTCATGACTTGAGGTGGGTGAGCTCAAGGTCTGTCATGACTTGAGGCAGGTGAGGTCACGGTCTGTCATGACTTGAGGTGGGTGAGGTTAAGGTCTGTCATGGCTTGAGGCAGGTGAGGTCACGGTCTGTCATGACTTGAGGTGGGTGAGCTCAAGGTCTGTCATGACTTGAGGCAGGTGAGGTCACGGTCTGTCATGACTTGAGGTGGGTGAGCTCACAGTCTGTCATGGCTTGAGGCAGGTGAGGTCACGGTCTGTCATGACTTGAGGTGGGTGAGCTCAAGGTCTGTCATGACTTGAGGTGGGTGAGCTCACGGTCTGTCACGGCTTGAGGCAGGTGAGGTCACGGTCTGTCATGACTTGAGGCAGGTGAGCTCAAGGTCTGTCACGGCTTGAGGCAGGTGAGGTCACGGTCTGTCATGGCTTGAGGCAGGTGAGCTCAAGGTCTGTCACGGCTTGAGGCAGGTGAGGTCACGGTCTGTCACGGCTTGAGGCAGGTGAGCTCAAGGTCTGTCACGGCTTGAGGCAGGTGAGGTCACGGTCTGTCATGGCTTGAGGCAGGTGAGCTCAAGGTCTGTCACGGCTTGAGGCAGGTGAGCTCAAGGTCTGTCACGGCTTGAGGCAGGTGAGGTCACGGTCTGTCATGACTTGAGGCAGGTGAGCTCAAGGTCTGTCACGGCTTGAGGCAGGTGAGGTCACGGTCTGTCATGGCTTGAGGCAGGTGAGGTCACGGTCTGTCATGGCTTGAGGCAGGTGAGCTCAAGGTCTGTCACGGCTTGAGGCACGTGAGGTCACGGTCTGTCATGGCTTGAGGCAGGTGAGGTCACGGTCTGTCACGGCTTGAGGCAGGTGAGATCACAGTCTGTCATGGCTTGAGGCAGGTGAGGTCACAGTCTGTCACAGCTTGAGGCAGGTGAGGTCACAGTCTGTCATTGCTTGAGGCAGGTGAGGTCACGGTCTGTCATGGCTTGAGGCAGGTGAGGTCACGGTCTGTCACGGCTTGAGGCAGGGGAGGTCACGGTCTGTCACGGCTTGAGGCAGGTGAGGTCACAGTCTGTCATGGCTTGAGGCAGGTGAGGTCACAGTCTGTCATTGCTTGAGGCAGGTGAGGTCACGGTCTGTCATGGCTTGAGGCAGGTGAGGTCACAGTCTGTCACGGCTTGAGGCAGGTGAGGTCACGGTCTGTCATGGCTTGAGGCAGGTGAGGTCGCAGTCTGTCACGGCTTGAGGCAGGTGAGGTCACGGTCTGTCTTGGCTTGAGGCAGGTGAGGTCACAGTCTGTCACGGCTTGAGGTGGGTGAGGTTAAGGTCTGTCATGGCTTGAGGCAGGTGAGGTTAAGGTCTGTCATGACTTGAGGTGGGTGAGCTCAAGGTCTGTCATGACTTGAGGTGGGTGAGGTTAAGGTCTGTCATGGCTTGAGGCAGGTGAGGTCACGGTCTGTCATGACTTGAGGTGGGTGAGCTCAAGGTCTGTCATGACTTGAGGTGGGTGAGGTTAAGGTCTGTCATGGCTTGAGGCAGGTGAGGTCACGGTCTGTCATGACTTGAGGTGGGTGAGGTTAAGGTCTGTCATAGCTTGAGGCAGGTGAGGTCACGGTCTGTCATGACTTGAGGTGGGTGAGCTCAAGGTCTGTCATGACTTGAGGCAGGTGAGGTCACGGTCTGTCATGACTTGAGGTGGGTGAGCTCACAGTCTGTCATGGCTTGAGGCAGGTGAGGTCACGGTCTGTCATGACTTGAGGTGGGTGAGCTCAAGGTCTGTCATGACTTGAGGTGGGTGAGGTTGAGGTCTGTCATGGCATGAGGCAGGTGAGGTCACGGTCTGTCATGACTTGAGGTGGGTGAGCTCAAGGTCTGTCATGACTTGAGGCAGGTGAGGTCACGGTCTGTCATGACTTGAGGTGGGTGAGGTTAAGGTCTGTCATGGCTTGAGGCAGGTGAGGTCACGGTCTGTCATGACTTGAGGTGGGTGAGCTCAAGGTCTGTCATGACTTGAGGCAGGTGAGGTCACGGTCTGTCATGACTTGAGGTGGGTGAGCTCACAGTCTGTCATGGCTTGAGGCAGGTGAGGTCACGGTCTGTCATGACTTGAGGTGGGTGAGCTCAAGGTCTGTCATGACTTGAGGTGGGTGAGCTCACGGTCTGTCACGGCTTGAGGCAGGTGAGGTCACGGTCTGTCATGACTTGAGGCAGGTGAGCTCAAGGTCTGTCACGGCTTGAGGCAGGTGAGGTCACGGTCTGTCATGGCTTGAGGCAGGTGAGCTCAAGGTCTGTCACGGCTTGAGGCAGGTGAGGTCACAGTCTATCATGGCTTGAGGCAGGTGAGCTCAAGGTCTGTCACGGCTTGAGGCAGGTGAGGTCACGGTCTGTCATGGCTTGAGGCAGGTGAGCTCAAGGTCTGTCACGGCTTGAGGCAGGTGAGGTCACGGTCTGTCATGGCTTGAGGCAGGTGAGGTCACGGTCTGTCACGGCTTGAGGCAGGTGAGGTCACAGTCTGTCATGGCTTGAGGCAGGTGAGGTCACAGTCTGTCATGGCTT